AGACCAACCACTTAAATGAAATGAAGTAGAAACAGCGATAGTCAAACCAAATTACATATTCTATAATTGATATTTCTACTTGACTATCTTTTGGTGTACCCTGATGTGACTACTTAAAAACCAACTAAATTGAGAAAACAGCACATTCCTCTAAAACCGGCTGTCGAAACGCGCCTGACAGACCAAAAATAGAGAAGTTAGTCAAACCAAAATGATTGGAAACCTAACTGTACATTCTACGAGTTATGATATTATTCTAGACGATCATTTTGGTCTGTCCTGATGTGACTACTAAAAAAGGGACTTAACTGATAAAATAACACAGAGGAATCTCTAAAACAACCGTATAATAAAAATACTCGGACGACCAGAAAGGTCCTAACTAGTATGGATGTTCTGATAGCTTGTTTCATAAACCGATAAAAGGACACGTTTGGAAAAATAACTTACAGACCAACTACTGAAAAATGGATTGAAGCCGAAATAGCGAGGTTAATCAAGCCAAAATGATCAGTAATCAAACTATACATTCTACAATTAATGGCATTGTACTGGACGATCATTTTGGTATGTTCTGGTGGTATGTGGCTACTTAAAACGGAACAACTGACAAAATTGAACACAAACCACCTACTTAAAAATGGATTGAAGCCGAAACAGCGAGGTTACTCAAGCCAAAATGATCAAAAACCAAACTATACATTCTATAAGTAATGACATTATTCTAGACGATCATTTTGGTCTATCTTGATGTGACTACTAAAAAAGGGACTTAGCTGATAAAATAACACACAGGAACCACTGAAACGGCCGTATAATGGAAAGACTAGAAGAAGACCGGAGGAACGATTTAACTACTATGGATGGTTCTGATAGCCTGCTTCATAAACCGATAAAAGGACACGTTTGACAAAATAACTCACAGACCAACTACTGAAAAATGGATTGATGCCGAAATAGCGAGGTTAATCAAACCAACATGACCAGAAATCAAACTATACATTCTACAATTAATGGAATTGTTCTGGACGATCATGGAGTTTACTGGGTTTCCCTTATGTGGTTTACTTAAAACGGCAATTACTGACAAAAAAGCATACAGGCAAAATACTGAAATTGGCTTTTGAAACGCTCCCGACAGACCAAAATCAGAGAAGTTAGGCGAACCAAAATGATCGGAAACCAAACTATATATTCTACAAGTAATGAAATTATTCTAGACGATCATTTTACTACATAAAAAGAGACTTAACTCACAAACTTGCATACAGGCAAAACACTGAAACTTGATGCCAAAACAAGCCGTATATACCAAAAAGAGAAATTAGGCAAACCAAACTATTCATACAATTAATGGCATTGTACTTGACGATCATTTTGGTATGTTCTGGTGTAGTTTCTTAAAACGGGACTGACAAAACATCACACAGGCAAATCGCTGAACTTTGATGCCAAAACATGACAATTGGTCTGTCCATAAATAGAGAATTTCGGCAAGCCAAAATGATCCCATATCAAACTACGTGATCTACAATTTATCTCTTTCTTCTTTAAGATGATTATGACCTGTCTTCGTGTCGATACAGAAAAAGGATATAACTGAGAAAATATCGAACAGGCAAACCAGTGAAACAGAACAACACAGCGAGCTCAGCCGGACCAAAATTTTAGACACACACCGAAATAAGATCTGTACACAATTAAATATAATTAAACCCTTTTCTAATACGATATTTAACGACTACTTAATTCTTTATAGTTTGTACTCTACTGATCATTATTGACAAATGGTCGACCACAAGCAGGCTAAGATTATTCAGAAATCATGAGATGCGGTCTGGTGTGATGTAGGTTTCAGAAAAACATTTTCTTTATCGTGTTAACGTTTCGATTTTGTGTTTCTGGCACTCACAACACGACACGCAAGAATGGCACACTTACGCAGAAAACACTTTGAGCCCTGAACACGATCTCAATAAAGATCGAAACGTTGGCACGATAAAGAAAATGTTTTTCTGAAACCTACATCACACCAGACCGCATCTCAGGATTTTTGAATAATAATAAATGTCAAGCTTGTCATCCAAGATTAAAAACAAAAAAAAAAACAGCGGGTTAAGACGGACCATGATTACGAAAACGACACAAGTCCAGACGCCTCAAGAAATCCCACAATCTAATTGTTATTGCATATCCCCCGTCTATTTTTCCAGTATATCGTAGATTTTATTATATTATCTTTAAGGTTAAGTTATCTAAATCTGTTTTATTATCTATAATTTTCTGATAATTATTCAGAAATCGTGAGATGCGGTCTGGTGTGATGTAGGTTTCAGAATAACATTTTCTTTATCGTGCCAACGTTTCGATCTTTATTGAGATCATCTTCAGGGCAAATCACCACACAAAGCGGATAAGAATCACCATTAATATAAATGTCTGATCATTTCTTATTTTTACATATTAACAATTTTGTTTTTAAATGATGAAAGGAATTGCGCTTCTATTTTACAAAAACTCAATTCTTCCACTAGATTTTCTTTTCATATCTGACCCTTAGCTTTGAATGTGGTAGAACGGTTTGTACGCCGAGTCTCTCCTTAATTATGACCACTTTTTAAACATTAATAGGACAATTAAGAAGTCTGTAAGATTGAACGTGACTTTCGCCCCAGAGTTCAATTTTCTGAAGATTTTGCTCTCAGGCCAGTGCCAGGAGACCGACTGGATACCACTGGTACGTAATATGAAAGTTCCGGTACCACCAGGTAATATTAATGAGCCCCTGTGCGGTCAGGATGACAGCTGACGTCGTTCTGCGGCTCGAGTTACCGCACTGTCCCATCTGGGCTGTGTACGCCCTGTACATCCGTGAGGCTAGGGGTCTATCGGCCTTTATGATAAGCGGTTATCTATCTTGTATTTTATAATCGTCATGAGTCATCAAGTCTAGCCGGGAGCGAACGAACCGACCGCACACTTTTTTCCCTTCTATAAATACTCCCACTATATCCGTCTTGGGAGTTCGGGCTAACATTTGGGCTATAGCAGCCCCGTTGGTATTCAGGGTGGGGTTTTTACGACGATCTGGTCCAAAATGTCCTTTTTTTGCAGTATGATTGTTTCGAGCCGTGAAATGGGCTAACACGAATGACATTAAAGTCTGACGTCATATAGATATAATCTCCGCTTATCAACAACGTCAGGGGCCTGCGGTTGGAAAAGCAGAAATAAACACGAGAACAAATAACTCCCATATAGACATACGTTAATGTACAACAATATTACATTAAAATTTTTGTAAATTACAACAAAAATAATCAGTCAGTTTTTAATCATTCAATATTCTTTCATAGTTAAACATTTTCTTCATATAGTACACAGAATTCAGTAAAAATCATCAGTGTATTAACTTTGATCAAAGCGCACAAATTTAATTCCAGTCATGAAGACACGATGAATATTCATTTACGAGGCCTTTCTTCCAAGTTTTCTAATTATTGTCGTATAATTCAGTCAAAAAATATTCAACGATCGAGATTAATATTATCGTAGGGTAGGCAAATACGCGAAATATAGCATTTCTTAGAACATTACGCAATCTAAAGCGCAATCGCAAAACAATTTCAACATTTATCTTATCTTGAACAAAATTACAATTTGAGAACGCTAAAAAAAGCGTTCGAGAATTTTAAATCAAGATACTAGATAATAAATTTTGCTTGATAGATACCATTGAATTTTCTATACATATTTGAACATTTATGATCACAGTATTTTTTCGTCACACGGTCACAGCACTAACACTAATACCGACGCGACACCCGAAGGACATATGCCATAAAAAGTCAGCCATTGTTGGCACTCAGTGTGAAGGATTAAGGGTTAAGGTTATGTGTAGAGGGCTCGAGCAGTAATGTTAGGATGTATCGAGATGTTGGTGTGGAACATTTGGAATTGGGAACGGATCAATTTGTTTAAAAAGAATGTTGAGGTACTTGTGGATGGTGAAGTTAGAGGTGATTGGAAGGTTTGGATGCGCTGGATGTTGGATGGTTTAGCACAGTTCCACTCCATGTCCAAATTGGTCGCAGTAAAGTCTTGTACAAGGTTGGTTTAGTGTCGACGGTCAAGACGTATTTCGGTCCTAAAAGTTTTCATAGTTGTCCAAATCCTCTTTTAAGTGGTGTCTCTTATGTCTTTTGTGCAAGTAATCCGTTGCCTATTGTCAATAGACAAGATCCAAAATATTTTATTTGAATGGAAATTGGTATCGTTTTGTTGTTGGTACAGTCGGGAGTGTTTTTTCAATATAAAGGTGCATTGGGTACAATTTTCTTCGTTCAGTCTTTTCTTACACATTTTGCACCAGTATTCGATAAGATCAAGACATTGTTGGATTTTGGAGATAGCTTGGATAGGATTCAAGCAAGAAGACAAAATTGCTGTATCGTTCGCGTAGGTTGTGATGATGGTATTGGGGTGAGCAGGTCAGCAGTATATATGATGTAAAAGACGGGACCAAGAATGCTCCCTTGCGGGATCCCGGCTTGTATCGGTATGATTTCTGAGAACTCGTTGCCGCCTTTCACTCTGAAGCACCGGTCGGATTTCAGGATAAGATAACAAAGAGTGGGGTAACCATTAAACGTTTATAGCCTGAGGACTGTTCAGATTTAGTGAAAATAAATTAATTGCCGGTGCGAACGCGCCAATATTTTTCATTTCAAAAAGCTCCTTCCCTCTTTTATCGTCCCCGACGATTTACCTTCATCTCAAAGGACATTTTGTTACCCCATAAAATATTTCCGTCGGAATTCTCTTCAACACTATCAAATCTTTATTTGAATCGCAACTGGCCGAAATGAGATTAATTGGGGCCTTTGTCCCCAAGTGATTTCACATCAGATAAAACGGGGGAAAACTTTTATCCGGCTCGCAATGGAAATTTTCTAACAGTGAGTCATCCGGGTTAGAGAAAAATAAATAAATTCACTTACACGAATGCAGGCATTCGGCGATTGTCGTCGCGTCCACGAAATATCCATGGCAAAGGACGCAAACCAGATGCGGGTTGACGTCCGTAAGCTTTGTTCTACTGCCCTCCATTCTGAAACAAACAACAAAACATTTGAAATAATACTTATAAATAAAAAATAGCTTCTTTTGATACAAAACTATCATTAAAGCGAAAAACAAATCAGAAAAATAATATCCGTCATTTCGGATTGTACAACTTTCATCGACAGATAGATAGTACAATAACTTCATGGGAACATTGCAACCTGACCGTGTACAATCCTTCCGGTCCGCCCAATCTCGCGAGTTTTGCTGTACTTTATTAGTTAGTACAAATGAGGATCGACCGTCAAAAACGAAATGGACAATGGTTGGGTTAATCACTTTCAAAGCTACCCTGCTCCTTAAAAATGCTTTCTGTTCATTTCCCTCCCTCTATACACCTATAGTTTCAATCATTTGCTACCATTAATGTATATATATGTGTGTAATGCTATCTTTATACGTGAGGTAATTAGTGACCGTTAGTCAATAATTATTCAGAAATCGTGAGATGCGGTCTGGTGTGATGTAGTTTTCAGAAAAGCATTTTCTTTATCGTGCCAACGTTTCGATCTTTATTGAGATCATCTTCAAGGCCTGGGATTTACAAACATTGTTTACATTTAAAAAATACATTTAGGATGTGGAAACGTTGGCACGATAAAGAAAATGTTTTCCTGAAACCTGCATCACACCAGACCGCATCTCACGATTACTGAATAACTATTTTGATATATGTATATAACAAATGATTATATATGTCATGTTTCATTGTCTTTCTGCCTCTGTCTGTCCTGTAGGTCTCTGTCTTTCTCTTGTTTCTCTTTCTCTCCCGCTGTCACTCTCTCTCTCTCTCTCTCTGCCTTTTGATTCATACATTTATTCTCTATTTTTATCAAATCTGTCAATGTCTCTATCTGTGTCACTATCTCTCTCTCTCTCTCACTCTCTCTCGCTCTCTCTCTCTCTCTCTCTCTCTCTCTCTCTCTCTCCCCCTTCATTTACTTACTATTTTTATATAGCTTTATTTCATGGTCAACACTTCAACTTTCTTTCTTTCTCTCCCCTCTCTCTCTCACTCTCTCTCTCTCTCTCTCTCTCTCTTCTCTCTTTCTCTCTCTCTCACTCGTTGTTGTTTCACTTAATTCACTCTCTCTCTCTCTTTCTTTACTGTTTTTCTTTCTTCTATCTATGATCCATGTTTTACTCTCTCTTTCTTTTCTATCAATCAATGTATATATGTGCGTTTGTCTTTCTCCCCGTTTCTTTGTCAAATCTGCCTCTCAGGCATTATATTCAATGTATGAAAATTGCATACAGTTGGTTGGTTTATCGGGTTTGCCAAGCTTTTCGAATGGGGCCGTCGTTGTATTAACTTAAAGGAATAAATAAAATTCAATCATTTTTATATATTTAGAAATCGTGAGATGCGGTCTGGTGTGATGTAGGTTTCAGAAAAACATTTTCTATATCGTGCCAACGTTTCGATCTTTATTGAGATCATCNCAATCTGATATCCCAATGTATGTATATATATGCATTTCATATATTTTATATTTATGGTTGTTGTATTACATGTAATATTTTGTATGAAGCATGTAGAATAAATATAATTTAAAAAAACCAGTCAATAGTAGGTTTAGATAATATTTAGTTTATTTTCGGAAACGAGATAGTACATTGGATTTTTCGCGAACGCATCTCTTCTGGGTCCGTATATCCTCGCTGTCCCATATCAGAGGGATGAACTGCACTGTTATACATAGCCTCTTGGGTCATTGTATAAAATAGAGTTTTTCTGTATTCTCGTTTTCTTCGGTCTTAGGAATACGTGTATATAAATAGTTGCAAGGCTAAAATTAAATTGGATGACTCAGCAATGTAAAATTTAACCATCTTTATCTGAAACTGCTTAAATGCTTGGTAGAGAATTTCATCAATTTTCTATACATGCTCGTAAGTTTGATGGTAGTATGTAATCAATCTTAACTTAAGTAGCTTTAAGACGATTACTTAAGCTTTTTGCATATTCATTTTAACCGTATTAATATTTTTAATTTTTATTATGGTTTTTAATATGGAAATATTCAATGTATGAAAATTGCATGTATGGTTTATCGGGTTTGCCGAGGCTTTTCGAATGGGGGCATCGTCGTAAAGTCGCTAACCGAAAGTTAACCCGGTGAAAATGGGGTTTATTTAAGCACTTTACCCGTCCAAGTGAAGACAAGCGATTAAAGGAAGAAGGTAAATGTTCTTGGGATGTGGGACAGGACGAGAGGTGGATGAGCAGGCGGGGGCTCGCCGGTTCCGCTCAGCCGTGAAACTAAGTCAAGCCGTGTCACCCTCCTTGGAATAAACTTCGCTGAATTATTTATCAACTACTAGGCCTAAAATAGAACACTTTACACGGTCGCTCCTGAAGAAAATTTACCTCAGGGGGTTGCCTTTTGATAAATATTAAATTTTCACTCGTATACAAACGGTGAACTTGTGTTATAGAAGATTTTTATCCAATTTGAAGTAAATGAAATTTAAAGTAAAGTTCACTAGTTTCGTGATCCGCTGGCCAATTAATATCTTTCAATTAATTAAGGTTTTTAGTTGAGATAAAAAAGTCAGTGTCACGAGCGGGATTCGAACACTCGATCTTCGGCTAAATGCGCCGCTACTCTACCACTTGAGCTATCGTGACTTCGATCCACTCGGACACCAACTCCCCATTTCAACCTACAACCTTTCGAATTTTCCCTTTTTCTGCCATTTTTCAAATGTCGTGTAATCAGGATTCGATTCTCGGTGACATATGATGTGGCTAGCTCAAGTGATTAGAGCAACCGCGTATTTGGCGAAAGGTCGTGAGTTCGAATCCCGCTCGTGACACTTTTTTCATTTCAACCAAAACCTTACATAAAAACTCGGAATTTAAAAAATGGCAAAAAGGAGGGAAAATTCAAAAGGTGAGGTTGAGATGGAAAGTTGTGTCCGAGTGGATCGAGGTCATGATAGCTCAAGTGGTAGAGCAGCAGCGTATCTAGCCGAAGATCGTGGGTTCGAATCCCGCTCGTGACACTGACTTTTTTATTTCAACTAAGAACTTTAAAGTAAAGGTTCGTCACCGCATTTTAACAGTGTTATTTCTAGAAGTTCATTTTTGATCATTTTCGTCTGCCTATCTTTGCTGGTTTGCTCAGACAGGCGCGTTTCGGCGTTCCGCGAGTTTCTGTGGTAAGCCTGAGTTGCCTTACACTGTTTATATCCCTAACCCATCACTTAAAATATGAACATCGAATCGCGTCTGACTGACCGACATAACAGAAAACGACGATGCTTGTCGTTTATCAGACCTCTAGACATGCTTTAACTTTATTAACTCCAAAAGCTGATCAAATTTCTGATCATTTTGGTCTGCCAATCCTCGTTGGGTCTATAGACTCGTTTCAGAGTTTGAAGGTCTTCTGCGGTCGACCTATGGCCAAATATCAAAATGCATCATATAGTCAAAAATAGTCAGAAACGAGAGAGCTACTGATTCATTGTTAAGTCAACCAATTTCACCTTTAGATATTTTTTGGTCTGCATATTCTCGCTGTTTTGATCGTCAGACACGGTTTGGTGTTACACATCCTACAGTGCAAAAGCTGTATCAGAGCCTCGCCCTGTTTATATCCTTGAACCATTTCTGTAGATGTAATACTGAAACGCCTCTGACTGACCAAAATAATCGGAAACGAGGAAACTACAGGTATATCAGCACACAAGACATGATTTAACCTTTATATCTTGAAAATATGGTTATGGGTCCTTTCAGATTTTTGGTCTGTCAGGCGCGTTTCTGTGTTTCGTCATAAATTTTTGATGTCTGAGTCGATGCCATGTGTATCCTTCAATGATCTTATTCACCTACAAAAATCGACCGATTTAACTTCTTGTTTGGCGTTTCCCGATTATTTTGTTCTCGCTGTTTTGATCTGTCAGACGTATTAAATGCCATCTTCTGTGGTGAGTACGTGCCATTGTGCTTTATCCTGCTTACATCCTCAAACCACAAAATATGGCGACCTCTGACAGTCTAAAACTGCGATGATATGCCCACTTCTCTAGGATTGAGGATACAAAGTTCATTGTGTCCTATCTTAAAATAAGATTGAAATACTTCACTCAAAAACATTAGCATTTTAACAAAAACGTTTATCTTTCTCATTATGAGCTTTTTTTTTTAAATCAACAGCGTTCGTGCGATCTGAAATGCGATATATTCCGCCATAAAATAAAAGAGGTAATTAAAAAACAACAAACTGTCTCCCACGGGTAAATAAATTTGTGGACGTTAGCACTGTTTCCTGAGGTGGAAGATGGGGTATTTACTGTAGGAATGGTAATCCGGAGGTAAACAGGGGCGCCGATCGATATATAGAGCCGGTGGAGGGATCGTGATAAATGAAGATTACCCTCAAAGTGTCAACACACCCTGAAAGGGGTAAACCATATCCCTCGATCCATTTTTCCCAAAAAAAGAAAAAAATCAAATTATACGAGATAGTTTCAGGCAAGGTTTTCCGAGGAAATTAACAGTTGAGGAAGAAAGCCGAATAGGGAGGTGGCGCCGCAGGATCCCTTCTTAATTTACAGGAAAGGTTTTTCCATTTACTTAACCTAATGTAACTCCTGAAGAGGAGGGAGTTGTAATCTAATAGAGAAGACGGAATGGGACGCCTTAATCACCTTTATATATAGGAAGACCATCTCTGTTTATCGTCTCACAGAACGACCTTTAGTTTGAAAAATGAAAGCTCATACTCTATTTCTACGTCCAACCTTGTAAGTCTACTAATTTACAATGGTGTTTGTCCTTAGATCTACTTCATGGGTTTTTTATTACCTCCTGAATGCATAAAACCCGTTAAAAATCTCGAAATTCCAAGTTTTACATGGCCAATTTTATATTTAAACACCAACCTCTTTATTACAAAACGTTAAGATTTTAAAAGATCGTTAAGATCTGTATCACAGTGTTTTTGTTTTATTACGTAGAAAAGCGATCTTCTC